CCCCGCCCCGCCCCGGCCGAAAGCCTTTGATCTTTGTACAGGCGATCCCGCCCGCGTCGGCGCTGCGGGGACGTAACTGGAGCCCGGGCCTCAAGAATGTGAGTTTCTTTCGAAATGCTGCAGGCACCCTGCAGCGCAAACTCTGTCCGTGGTCTGATGTGTGATGTGGGAAAATGTCGTACTGGGTACAAGAAGATTTTCCGTGGGACACGTCGTGTACAATTAAAATTAAAATTTGTAAATTGAGAAAGCAATGCGCATGAACATGGAATCGAATGACGAGCAAGAGTAGGGGATTGTAAATGCACAACCAATTTTGTAAATGATACAATTACGAAACATACATATTTTTACCAGTAGATGTACCATGTGCCCGGACAGAATATTTACTAGAATCCTTTTAATGAGAACTATGCACTTTAAAAATCGTGCATCCATCCGTCAGCCAAGTTCAGCCACTGCAAGCTCTCATGTAGCGCCTGATGGATAGGCAACATCTCGCCTGCAGTGCACGCGTGTACGGCGGGGTGGCCTACCCCGAGTCTCACAGGCGCCCGCTAGCTCCCGTAATTGGTCGACAGAATCAATCAGAGAGAGAGAGCGAGAGAGAGAAAGAAAAAATACCAGACGATCCCTGGCGGCACCCACCACAGCGTCGAGTCGCAGGCTCCACGGAGCACGGGTCCGCGAGCACAGCACAGCTAGCCGGGCCGCTCTCGCAGGCCAGCAGCGTCCCGCGCGGATTAAGACGACAACAGCAACAACTAGATTTGCAGCGCGAATGGCTCCGTCCCGCTGCGCGGAGGCCCCCCGGGGCCTGGCCGCGGGGCAAAAGAGTCCGGGAGGGTCCCGCCAATGAGGGAGTTCGCGCGGACTAACAAACGGAACTGGTTGTCGGGCGCCCCGCCCCCGCCGCGCCGCGCCGCGCCGTGCTCTGGGTACCCGGTACCGACGGTGCCCGTCGCCTCGGGTATGACATAATGGCGTCCCCAGATAGCGCACGCGGGGCGTGGCGGGGCGTGGCGGGGCGTGGCGGGGCGGGGTCCCGGTCCCAGCAGCACCGCCACTAATGACTTCATAAGCCGCCCGTTATTGTTTGTCTGTGGAGCGCGGCACGGCGCGGCTGGCGCGGCGCACTAGTGGAGGTGCAAGCGAGGGCGTAGTGAGGTGGTTAGGAAGGCTGTGAGCCCGGCGCGGACCAGAGCCTCAGCCTCCGGCCACCGCGGGCCCGCCGCGGGGCTCGACTCGACTCCCCGTTTTGTCTGGTCACTCTCCGGTATCCCTCCTTAACCTAATTGAACAAATGGGACGCGTGGATAGCACCACAGCGCTTGCCTGCCCCGCATTACACCCAGTGCTTGCTGCTACAGCCTCTCTACATCTCTGTTCCTAATTTTTTTTCTTCAGCTTCCTTTACCACTACCACCGTCTCCTCCCCCCACTTCTCCTCCTCCTCCTCGTCCTCCTCTGATCAGAGACACAACGAAAGAAACAACAGCAGCAGCAGCAACAACGACAGCAAAAAGTAAATTAGAGCCGAGAGAGGAAGAGAGGGAGAGAGAGGGGAGTAAGAGCGAGAGAGGGAGAGAGAGAGAGTAGCAGAGAGGATCTGTCCCACGCGATTATAATAGGAATAAGAATAATTCAACATCAGGGCTCTTTATTAGCCAGGGCCTCTAAGGCACGGACGGAGGGAAGAGAGGGGGGGGGGGGGGGGGGGAGCAACAGGGCTGACTGCCCGCGGGGGTCACCATTCCTAGAATAAACACAGAGGACTACCGCGGGGGGCAGAAGACGAAAGACGATTTACCTCGCGATTTACCGAGTCTTCGCGTCCCGGCAGGCAACCAAACCGTCAACGATGCGTGTTTTTGGTCTTGCCAAATGGATTTTGCTTCATTTGTTTCGTCGTTTCCTCGGCATTGACGCTACCATAAGTGAGGGACAGTCTGAGGAGTAAAGCTTTAACCTCACAATGATGTCGATTTGTATCGATTACGTTTAGTTTCCGCGGGGGATATTTGCCTATGCGGGATGCAAAGATCGGCTGGTCGGTATGCCGCGCGCCAGCATCTTTATGAGCTAAACGGCATTGTTATGAGAAATCGCGCGCTCTGGTTTGTTGCACACAGAGCTGCCCCGCACTCTGCTTCGCACTGCTCCTCCGGCTCGCCGGCCGGGGTGGGTAGGTTTAGGATCGGTCCGTACCTGGATGATGATATCGGCAGAGAACTTCCCCGGGGCCTCCTGCTTCACGTCGCAGTTGAGATCGTGATAGCCCAGCTTGAGCTGGAAGTCGAGGCTGTTGACCACGTCGGAGACGCACGAGTTGGGCCGCGTTTTGGCGTACACCTTGCCGTTGAACACCTGTAACGGGAGCGGGCAGTGTGTTTACCAGACGCAGGGAAGGGGCAGAGTGATTGCGAGCAGAGAGAGCAGTGTCGACGTCCGTCCAAGGACGGTACTTCACTCAAAAAATAAAAACAGTGTACACCCTCCCCCCCAAAAAAAAAAAAGACAAGTGAAATTTAAAAAAAAATCAAAAACAAAATAATCAAAAAACCAGAAAAAAGAGAAAAATCAAGAAAAAACAGAAATATTGGTGTACCCTTGCATTTATAGTGAAGCAACCCCCGGGTTCGTGCCTTCCTACTCCCAAAAGCCCCTACAAGCCGCACCTTGTTGGTCTGGACGCGGGCCACCATGTCCGTCCCCCTGCAGTCGATGGTGACGTTGTAGCAGGCCGTGAGCTGGTACGTGACCGCCTTGTCCAGCTCCAGGTACGGCTCCTCGATGTGCTGGAGGCTCGGGGCGGCGTGGTGCGAGAGCCGGCACACCTGGAAGCGAAGGCAGATTAAAAAGACGTCTAATAAAAACAAGCCGAGTTCAGAGGGGGGTAATATCTAAAAGTTTTAAAAAATATCATAAAAAGTTTTTTTGTGAGACTTTGTCGAGGTGACCTGTGAATTCCCACAGCGCTGTATTTATTTTTCTTTCTCCCGCCGCCCCACCCTCGCCTTGGTTGGTCCAGACAGTCACTCAGCCTCCCACAAGAAAGATTACGTTATAACGCTTCAGTAATCGCCGCTATCCGTCGGAAGCGCCGCCGGGCCGCGCTATCCACTCGGACACTCTCAAAAACGGCTCCATTATTTGCTCTCTTATAATAGATTTATGGCAGCGCCTTGCAAACGATTGGGATTGAGGGAGAAAAGCATTTCCAGGATCCCTCGCGTCCTTCCCTCCCACGAAAAAAAAAAGAATTAGCTAAAATAGCTAATGCGTTCGCTAATTTGGCCTTAGATTACAATATTGTTATTAGCTCGCTTAGTTAATTCTTAGCTAAGAGAGGTAACATATTAGCTTTCACAGATACTTGCTTCTGGATAACTGCTATGCTATGGCTAATTTTAGCTACTTTCGCTAATTTAGCTACTTAAGACAATTTAGCTAATTCTATTTTTTTCGCATACCTTGGGCCCGGTGTCCTCGTAGTCGAAGCTGTGACAGCGGAACTCGGTGCTCTGCAGGCACAGCTTCCGGCACTCGGCCAGGGTGGCGACCTCCTGGTGCACCGAGTCCACCGTCTTGAGGATGCGGCCCGGCTGCTCCGTGAAGTCGCACATCTTGATGGGGTCGCTCACGCAGTTGGACTCGAGGTAGTCGATGCGGTCCTCGGGCGTGAGGCTGCTCAGCCCCGACACAGTGAAGCGGTCCATGTCGCTCATGGAGCAGTCACCCGAGTCGTGGTGGAAGTTGGCGGACCTGAAAGGGAGTAAATACAAAGGTTTTAGATCAATTTAAAAAAATAGCTATATAGCTAACCCAGAGAGAAATTTTGGTGGAAAAGACGTGGAATCGACGTGGTGTTAT